TTCTCAATAGCTACCAAAAAAATAAAATACTTGGGAATAAATCTTACCAGAGACACAAAAGACCTCTACAAAGAAAACTATAAAAAGCCACTTCAAGAAACCATAGGAGACCTACATAAATGGAAAAACATCCCATGCTCGTGGATAGGAAGACTAAACATTGTGAAATTCATTTGGAAAACAGTGAAACATCAAGTAGTGTACAACAAAAAATAATATAAATATTAAAACAAATAGTCCATAATACTGCAACCCTTGAAAAATATAAAATAAGAAGGAAAATCTGTCTTTCTGTAGTACCCATCTTATCCCTAAATGGAACAATAGTTACATTTCTGATTTTTCAATGCTTATCCAGGAATGCATCAGGAAATAAGAAAACCCACCAATTTCCTTAATGAGGCTAAACTGCAAAACAACACCAGGGAAGACATATTTCCCCCATTTTCCAAAGATGGAAATAGGAGAATAATTCTGGCCCTGACTATTAACTCCCCTAGAACTTCTCCTTCTTCTTGGTATTTTTTCAATGGTAACAGTGGCCACTATGCTTGTCTCAGGGTTGTGACTCCCTTGTGACCTCTCTAATTCTCTATAGCATAGCTGAGATAAAGTGGGACATTTAAACTGACCTTTATCAAAGGTTCTTAGATAACAGTAGAAATAAAGAGAGCAACACACCAGCAGATATTCTGGCTTTTGAGATATGGCATACTGTACTCTTGGGAGATGCAGATCCCTACTATCCTAACTCCTTGCCTACCTTCCATGTGGTCAGCCTTTTCATGTCCACTCCATGAGTCTATGCTTAGTCTATCAAGTACAAATTCCATTTACAAGATACAATGAGCCCCAGAAAAGATTGGGGAGTTACCAGTCTATGAACTCTCTGACTTGACACAGTGTGATACTTATTATGTGAGGCTGGATGCTATGCCATGGGTGTTTCAAATGCCAGCAGTGTTACCCATGGTGAACAGGTTTCAGTGGAGCTTCCAGATTAAGACAGACTCAGAAGAAGAAAGAGGCCAATCACTTCTCAAAGAATTGGCCAATGGAAACCTTATGAATAGCAGTGAAACACTGTCTGGTATATTACTAGGAATCTTTATGAATAGCCCTGAAATATTGTGCAATACAGTCCCAGAAGATGAGCCCCTCAGGTAAGAAAGCACTCAAAATATGACCGAAGAAGAGCTGCCTCCTCAGAGTAGAGCTGACCTTAAGGATGTAGATAGAGTAAAGCTTTCGGGACCTCCATTTGCTGATGTGGCACATCCCAAGATAAGAAGAAATAGCTGCAAACATCCATTAATAATCAGAACATGGAATGTACAAAGTATGAATCTAGGAAAACTGGAAGTTGTCAAACATAAAATGGAATGCATAAAGATTGATATCCTAGGCATTAGTGAACTGAAATTGACTGGTTTTGGCCATTTTTAATCACGTGATCATATGATCTACTACACTCAGAGTGATAAATTGAAGAATGGTGTGGAATTCATCATCACAAAGAATGTATCAAGATCTATCCTGAAGTACACTGCTGTCAGTGATAGGATAATGTCCATACGCCTATGAGAAAAAAACAGTTAATACCATAATTATTCAAATTCATGGACCAACCACCAAAGCCAAAGATGAGGAAATTGAAGATTTTTACCGACTTCTGCAGTCTGAAATTGACCAAACATGCAATGAAGATGTATTAATTATCATTGATTGGAATGCAAAAGTTGGAAACAAAGAAGAATTGCCAGTAGTCAGAAAATACGGCCTTGGTGATAGAAATGATGCTGGAGACCGCATGATAGAATTTTGCAAAACCAATGACTTATTCATTGCAAATACCACTTTTCAACAACACAAACAGCAGCTATACACATGAAATTTGCCAGATTGAGTATACAAGAATCAAATTGACTGCATCTGTGGCAAAAGGCAATGGAAAAGCTCAATATCTTCAGCCAAAACAAGGCCAGGAGCTGATTGTGGAACAGACCATCAACTGCTCATATGCAAGTTCATGATGAAGCTGAAGACAATTAAAAGAAGTCCACAAGAGCCAAAATATGACCTGGATTATATCCTTCCTGAATTTAGAGAACACCTAAAGAATAGATTTGATGCATTGAACGCCAATGACCAAAAACCAGAGGTATTGTGGGATGACATCAAGAACATCATCCATGAAAAAACCAAAAGGTCATCAAAAAGACAAAAAAGGAAGAAAAGACCAAAATGGATGCCAGAAGAGAATCCACAGGATAAATGAGCTGAACAGATTTCAAAAGGGAGCTCAAGAAGACAAAGTCAATCATTACGTAAAATGTCCAAGGACTTGGAGTTAGAAAACCAAAAGGGAAGAACACGCTCAGCATTTCTCAAGCTGAAAGAACTGAGGAAAAAATTTAAGCCTCGAATTGCAGTAATGAAAGATTTCATGGGCAATATGTTGGATGATGCAGAAAGCATCAAAGGAAAATGGGTGGGATACACAGTCTCACTATACCAAAAAGAATTGGTAGATGATCATCCATTTCAGGAGGTTGCACATGATCAAAAACCAATGGCATTGAAGGAAGAAGTCAAAGCTGCACTGAAGGAATTGGTGAAGAACAAGACTCCACGAATTGACAGAACACCCATTCAGATGTTTCAACAAATGGATGCCATGCTGGAGGCACTCACTCAGTTATGCCAAGAGATTTGAAAGACATTGACCTGGCCAACTGACTGGAAGAGACCGATATATGTACCC